TCACATCGCATGGCCAACGGGAGCCACGCGCCGTCTGTCTCCGCGGCATCAGGCTGAAGGCATTTGTGGAAATCATGTCCGAGACCCTGAGATCCAGCTCTGAGCTCAGAAACCTGTTATCGCTAATGAGGAGGGGAGTCATTTTGCGGTAGCTGTAATAAACATTTGTTCAAACAAAAAGAAAAGTGAGATTAGAAAACACGCAATATGTCCCGGCATTAATGGAAAACCTATTTGTGCCATCTATTTTGGAAAAATTATTGAAGAACAGTTCATCCATGTGAAAATATTAGCACTGTAATTCTGTCAAGGTCAGTGAGACCTAGAGATTTGCTGAGAAATCACCTTCATTTCACCAGGTAAATAAAGAACTCGTTTTTCAAAGGAGCCTATTGAAGAAGGCACTCCATAGCAACAGTTAAATTATGAATACAGCACATATGTTCCATATCATATCATTTACAGCACACTTTAGCATAGACATAATGCTTGGTAACAAACTACAATACCATTCACAAAATGCATTTAAATAGCATAATTTAGTTCATTAAATTCAGTCATTTACAGTAAATCAAAATTATCACAGGAATTGAAGAGAGTACACAGTTGTTTGTTTGAATAGTTAAGCTAGGGAAGTCAATTCCTTTTTGAAGGTCAAGGACACAGTTGTTTCCATTTTCTGTTGTAAAAAAGATACAGCCTGTGTCATAAGATAATTTAGTATCATCTGAATGTGATCAACTCCCTTCCCCTGCTTGTTCTGTGTTATATAACTGGCACACCTAAAATATATCTCAGTCAAGAAAACGCTTTACATATAACGTTATCAAATTAGACTTCTTTTTCTTTTACGGACTGGATGGATGTGATTCTGGCTTTTTAAAAGGATTTAGTCTTGCAAATCTGCAGCCTATTACTTGGGAGCAAAGATGTATGTTTTCCCCTGCTCCAGCCATCAATTGCTTGGCCTGTGGAAATATTATTATAAAAGAAAAGTGGATTTTTTGGAGCCTTTCTAGGAGAGATATTCTGGCTTTTGCCTTTGGAAGAGCAGTGTGTGTCTGTGGGTGGTGCAGAAATGGTTTTGCAGTGTAGACTGAGGGTCTGGCCCTGCAGCAGGGATGGAGATGAGGGCAGGGACAGCACTTGGCCCTCAAAGCCAGGGAGAGCTGTGAGCATCCCACAGTCTCACATCACATGCACAGACAATCCTGTTCAAACACCAGCACCGCTTTCAGAGAAATTCAAAAACTAATTTTAAAATGGCCAGAAAAAACTCAGGCCACTTGTTGAGTCGTTCCCCACACTTAAAAACCACGGATTCTCACTCCACGTTTGCCTGGCTGCTTCTGCTCACTGTCGTCTTGCCTGATGTGTACAGATTGAAAAGACCATGGTGAAATTTCTGTTGTTCTTGATAAAACTTCTGGTTTATCATCAAGTTATCATCAAGAAGCTTGGCTTCTTTTCCCTGAGGATGATGTGCAGGCAGCACTGGTCCCTCTCCATGCCTGAGTTGCCCTCCTGGGCACAGGGCTCTGAGGGAGGCCTGGGGTTCACACCGTAGCACCCTGCCAGCCCAGCCACCAGTTGTCTTGGAGGCAGGAACTTCTTCATTGCCCCCAAATTTTTGCTTGGAGAAACCAAGCCACTGGGTGAGCAGTGCAGCAGCTGTTCCCCATTTTATAGATGGGGAAACTGAGGCACGAGGAAAACCTTCGTCCTGGAGAGATGCAGCCCAGGGAGAATCCAGCTTCCACAAACTGGTCTGGAAATTGCACACAATCATTAACTCATCCTTGAAAAATTTTCGTGATAGATTGCAACTATTCTGTCTGTCATCTCCAGAGCCTGCCCCTCGCAGGAATTATAACTCCGTACCTGTGGGCTGCCACCACAGGACAGCAGGGGGATACATCACGCCTGCTGCCAGGCGAGCCCTGACACAGACGTGTGTGATTGCTGGTACTGGGGCTTCTGCTCGTGCTTTAACACGACGACGTTAATTCGCCACCAAAGCTGCATTTAAGGCTTACGGGAAAGCAATGAGCTCAAGAGGAAAATTCCAGCCTCGGTTCGAGGTAATTATAAATCTTTTCCATTCAGACACTATATTAAGGCTGCTGCATTGGCCCAGAGTTTTATCTCCAATTTCCCACTTCTCTCCATTGCACGGGCTCCAGCCAGCCTCCGAGCAGAGGGGTCAGGCTGGGCGCTGACAAAGGGCCCCATTCACAACCAGCAGCAGCCCCTTCGCTGCGTCCCCCGGCACCCCAGAAGCAGCAGGGCAGTGACAGGAGACTCCCGCACGTCAGACAAACTCCAGGCCTCCCCTGCAGCCACCGCTTCCTGAAAACATCACATCTGCACTGCCAGGCACTGTTCAGGCTCCTGCATGGACCTGCAATGCTTCTCTTGCTGTGCTTGGAGGCTGCAGGCAAAAGACACCGTGAGCCACCTGCCCTTGCTGAGGTGTTAGGCTCTATGAATGAGGCTGTTCTTCCTTCCAGGGAAGCATCTCAGATGAAGCTAAAGGCGTCTGAGCTACCTCACCATTATTTCTTGGTCTGCACCGTCAGCTCAGGTGGGATGTTGATGTACTTGGGAGGTGAACACAAGAACCGCTTGTGCCTGGCACTCAGGAATATTACAGCCTGGTGGCTGGGGAGGCCTTGGGGGCAAGCAGCAGCTGGTGAAAGCCCCCATCGCCTAGCCCCTATAGCATATAGCAGCCCTTGCCCCTATAGCCTAGTCCATATAGTGTTGCCCCTTCAGAACCTTGTCTCTTCAGGGTTCCTCAGGTGAATGTCAGCCTGGGGGTGCCAATGATCACAGCACTCGATGCCAAGATCAGCAGCAGCACGAGCAGACCAAGGGCTGGTGCCCGCTGCAAAGGCCGTAGAGTGGTTTGTGTTGGAGGGACCATTAAACCACCTGGTCCAACCCTCCTGCCCTGGGCAGGGCATCTTTCACTAGCTTGGATTACCCAAAGCCCAATCCAAGTCAGCTTTGAGCACTTCCAGTGCTGGGGCACCCACGGCTTCTCTGAGCAACCAGTTCTGGCTTCTCTCCACCCTCACCATGAAAAATTTCTCCCTTATCTCCAGATGGTCAAAGCCAGCCCACCAAATTCGAGACACCGAAGTCAGGCTCCCAATACTGATTTCTTCCCGTTGATGTTCCTCTTTCTCTCCACTGAGCAGACAGAAACCCCAGAGCAGCTGGAGAGGAGCCTGATGATGGGTACGTGGGGAACAAGACCAACATGGTCAAGGAGCATGGCCACTCACAGCAGTGTCCCCACCAAAATCTGGGGACAAGTGTGTCCACCAGCCCCCCAAGTCATACCCCATGGCACGGGCCAGCTCGAGGCCCACGTGGCATGGCCAGCCCTGCTCTGCCGTCAGCCAGCCAGCCCCAGGGAAATGTTCCAGGTGGCAATAAACCTGTTGAAGGAATAAATTAGCTGCACGGCAAGGTTATGCTTGGGGAACGTCTCCGCTAAGGCATAGGTAGCCGCAGTACCTGGTGATTAGGTTTATATTGCAATGTGGCTTTTAAGGCTCACTGTGCTGAATAAAAATTTAGGCAATTAGCGATCTTATTTCTTAGGAAGAACTGCTTGCTATCGTATATTAATACAGATTTTGCTCAATTAAAATTGTTCGCAGTCAGCAAAAACAATTTCTGCACTGTAATGAAATAATGAAATAATTATATGCAAGGGAGGACTTCTGATCTTTTTAATTATTCTATTCTTCATTTTTAAAAGGGCTATTTGAAAACGCACTCTTATAATTGATTGCTATAAATCAGTCAGAAGCATTCTAAGGATCATAAATATTCTAACTTTTAAAAGACAAAGAAATGCTAAATATTCAATGAAATCCTTCAATATTCAGAAAATTTAATCTAGGGTAAAAGGATAGACTGCTCTTTTGAAAATAAAAAGTAAATTTGTTGTCCTGTGAAAAATGAAATATCTTGAATGTCAGTAACAGAAATGGAATTAACAAGAGATCTTTTTATTGTTTTTTAAGGTCATTAGGCTGTGAATTCTATAATTATGGAAATTGTCAGTCCAGTTCTGTGCAGTGTTTGCTCCCATCCATAAGGTATTGGAATGTTCAATCAGTCTCTCTCGTGGGAAAGTTAGGTCATAACTGTAAGTGTACCAGCAAAATTGAATTAAGCAAAGAGATTTCATTAGTATTTATAGCCAGAAGGCATCTGTAAAAGTACAGGGCAAAGAAGTTATGTGGAAGTCAAAGGAGAAAAAAAAATGGGTTTCTGGTGACAAAGGCGAATCTGAAAGAGATATAAGTGTATAATGAATAAGAGCTATTGAGCGCTGCTCCAAAGAGGGAGTTGCAAAGATGTCAAATATTGATTTTCTTGTGTATGCCTTTGGACTACATATGTAATTGTTTGGATTTGCTGTCTTCATGATACAACAATATTTGTTGTTGAAGGTTAAAAAGCAGAGTGTGAAACAACCCAAAAAGTCTGAAACGTGTTGGAGAATTATAATAATTCTGCAAGGAGGATTTCATGAGCAGCAGTCTGTACTTTCGAGCAAATAAACATTTTTATGACAGGCAAAAGCATTCGGCTATTGAGAGTATTGCTCCTGGTATTGCAGAAGCACACATCCTATGCAATGCCATTGAACCATACTGCATTTATTGACTGAAAATATACAATTTGCTTCTAATGAGTTTCTCCAACTTTTTATCCGTGAATATATTCTGTGATTGAGTATGTATGTGCAAAGTGGAGTGTATGGTGTTGTCTGTGCTCTTTGTATGTGCACACTGATAGATAAATATATCCTCATATGTGAGTTATTTATATATGAATGACAGAGCCTCTCAGGGTAGTAATGCAGAATAGAGAATATATTTCCTGATGCCAATTAATGTCTTAATGAAGTAAGTGTCTTGAAATATTTTAATTCCATAGAAGCGAGCACACAAACCACCTTAATAATTATTCTCGTCTTTAAGAGTTACATAACGCTGACATGGCAGTTCTTTATTTTTCTACACAAAACACTATGTGAGTCCGGAGTGACACAGCACACATGACATTTCACATGTGGCCCCCACGCTGGCGTGGAGGCAACAAGCCCTTTGCTGACACTGGTGGTGGCTTTGTCCCCGGCTGCAGCGGGACGGAGACTTCAGGAGCTCCAGAAGCAAAGGGTGTCCTCACAAAGCTGTAGATAACTCAGATGTCAGGGCCCTCTGAGGTTATTCAGTCTCTTTCTAGGCAGTCAGGCTGGGAGATGAGGTCTTCATTCTTGGAAGCACTGGACTCGGCAGATCCTAACAGAGCCTGACCATCAGTTCTTGAATGAAGAAATCTCAGCTGTTTGAAGGAAAGAAAGAAAAAAAAAAAAAAAAAAGGAAAGAAAGAAAAAAAAAATGTAAATAAGAACACAAATGGGATCAAACTCCCCATGAACCCTGGTCCAGCTGAAGGCAGTGTCACAGCTCCTGTTGCGCCCTGCAGGTGCGCGTTCACCCAGCGCCTATGTGAGCTGGGAAGAAGCTTAACACTTGGGGAGCCCGAGAAAAGGCACTGTTACCATTCACTGGCCTCAATGGAAAGATCTCTTGGGGATGAAAAACGCAGTCCTTATCTGTACCTAATCCAGGGAGGCTGCTTGCTGGTCACTTCCTTGCTTCTGTCTTGTAAACGGCACCGCAGCGCTTCACCCCGCAGCCGCAGTGGTAGCAGCAGCAACAACAACACTGCGTGCTGGCAGTGCGGGAGGTCGGGCACCCAGCCTGCACGCCCTCCCGTGCAGCAAGGAAGCACTATTATTCCTGCTCAGTGGAGAAAAAGGAGGTGTTTTGCCCTGACTCCTCTCTGTCCGGAGCAGTTTTGCTCTGCCGTTCACACAGGTGCAGCTCTGTGCACATGTGGCTGTTGGTGAAATGGGATTAAAGCACCAGCAGATGAAATGATTTACCCAGGGCTGTATGACAGGAAAGCCAAGGACTAGAAGACAATAACTAATATACAAATCTATATAGTTTTTTTGTTTGTTTGTTTGTTTGTTTTCTAGGTTAAGCTACAGTATTTTTCCCTAAATTCAACGAATTCTTCATAAGAACACATCTTCACAACATTCACATCCTCCCTGGTATAACACCCGTCATAAATGAAGTGTGCATTTGCTGATCTTCACTAAAAATACTTAGTAATAAGGCACGTTTAACACCAACGGCTGTGGAAATAGGGCTGCCAAGCCTGTTACACTGGGAAGCTGCCTGATTTTGCTCAGAGCCCCTGCAAGTGCCTGGCTGCGTTTCCCCAGCCCTGCAGCCCGCTGAAGGGGCTGGGAGTTTTTGGAGCCCTGCTGTCAGAGTACAATGTTGCCTAAGCAAGCATTAAGAGATTATGGTAATAATAGGCATGCTTACTCCAAATAAAAGGTTTCATTAATCAAGCCATATTGAGATAAACCTGTCAGTGGACAGAGGAAACTAGAAATCAAACGCTGTGAAAGTTCTGACAGATTGTTAAATAGAAACCCTTTAAAACTGAATTTAATTTACTGTGATATTACAGATATTTATGCATCAATAGGCAAGTGCAGATTGAGTTCGGAGGTCAGCTGTGGTGCTTGAAAAATAAACGCGCAGAATGAAACAAAAGGTGACAGTTACCTTTGTCGGAAATTATGGTTTATTAAACTAAATATGAAGCTCTCACCTGACTTGCGTTTAGCAGAGAGGCGTGGGGCTGGGGCATCAATTCATGCAGTAGATTGGGGAGCAGCTAATTACAGAAGAGCTGCCCCTGTTTTTAAAGTTGTGTCTGTAAGCTGTACCAGAAGAAGCCAGGAGCAAACGTTTGACTTCTATACCTCACATTTATTTATTTCATTTCTCCTCGGGAGTTTTTCTAAACCTCTCCGTTTTCAAAGGAAACACAGACTGGTTGCTGAGGTGTCCCGGGTGGAAAACAAAACTTTGCTCCTCCTTCAGAGGCTTGTCTAGTCTCACGTTTTTCTTCCAAAGGAGTGGCTGCAATGCGAAGGGAAGATTTGGACCTAGTTGTGTTCCAGCTCTGCCAATGCCAAGGGTCCTGCTGGCTCCACCAGGCACAGGAGAAGTCCTTGAATACCAGCAGTCCTGAGTGAAAAATACGCCCGTGCTATATGATATGAGCATATTTATCTGCCAAACTTATATGAGATCATATCTAAATACATGGCTCCAAAACATATAGTAGATTACATTTCACACGCAGAAGAAACACGTAAAACATGCAGGACATGTTAGCTACAGCTATGCTGGACATATGTCCTTCCCAGAACGACAGCCCACAAAATCCTGCTGGACTCGTGCGAAGAATGACTGCAATGGAAGCAAGCTCATGAGCAAAGCCCGTCAGGATCTGGCCCAGCTTTCTGAGAAAATTTCCCTTTTTTGAGCACACAGGGGATGCAGGAGTGGGCCATTAGTTAATGGTAGAAGCCAAAATGTCAGGATCCTGTGACAAAGTCCCGGCTGTGTGCCTGCTCTGGTCATCATCGCCTGGGGAGCCACGTGTTGACACCAAGGGGCCCTGCAGAAACCTTCTCACTGCTGCTTAGGATACTCAGGAGCTGCCCTCACTGCAGCTCCAATGCAGGAATGACCATTGCTCTGGGCTGAGGCTCCCTGGGAAATGGAAATAAAACGGTAAAAACTGCCAAGAGAAAACTGGGGAGGAAGGACGATCGTGTTTCATCTACACAAAGATGAGAATTTACCTTACAAATTTGAACAAGACTTAGCTTGGAAAATGAAGCTTTAGTTCAGGTTTAGAATACAGTTAACTCGGAGCATATATTTAAGTCCCATTAATTTACAAGGTTTAAATGCTAAGGTGAGTATTTCTGGAAGCACGGGCTCTGGGGCAGGGAGAGCATTGAGGAGACCTCCTCGTTCATCCCTGGGCTTCCAGGAGGGCCCTGGCAGACCCCAGAGCTGCAGGCACATACCTGGAGGTGGGTCTCAATGGGTGACTCCTCTTGGGTTTCCAGGAGGAAGGATATTTAGCCATTATTCCAGAGAAGTAAAAGCCAGGGATGGATGAGGGGGACATGGCACAGCCCCCAGGAGGGTGAATCCTGCAGGATTCCTTTCTCACCTGGGCAAAGGCAGGAAACCCAACACAAAAACGATGTTGGTGTGGTTTAAGGAGTGTTGCCCACGTGTGCTCTCATCATGCAAGCACTGGAAATGCTCAGCCAGGCCCCCCGCGCTATCTGCAACTCCTCAAAGATGCTTTGAAACCTGCGGGGATTTATGGCATTCCTGGGAAGGCATTAAAATACTTTAATAAAATGTTTAATAAAGATTCTTCTAATAAGGTGAAGGATCTAAATTGAATTTAGTGAGTACTGTAATGGTCACACCAACGGGCTTTGTGGGGGATGGCAGGAAGGAGTCCGACTGGAAATGTTCTGAGTGGTGCTCCTTCTGGCCCCTAAAAAAAAAAAAAGAAAAAAAAAAAGAAAAAAAGGAAAGATTTGGGCTCCTCAAAGAGTTTTTTGGCCAAAAGCTAGCAGAAATTTCAGTTTCTGAAGCTGTCAGTTCTCTTTCCAAGACATTTGTGGAGGGCACCCACTATTTATACGAAGAACTCTGCTGTTTTCTCTCCTCAGGAGGTGGAGGAGGAAACTGCTGGGACAGGCGGTCCATTGGGATGGGCTCTTGGCAACACCACATCAGGACACAGAGGGATTTTGCAGCACAGCTTTTCTTTGCCAAAAGAAAAGAAAATAATCCCCTAAAATGCCATACAGCGCTCTCCAGATACGGAGCTACCTGGTTCAGCAGGTGAAGAGCAGCTTGGGGAAGGTTTGGAAGAGATATTATGGACCTGACTGCATAAATACCTAGCATGGGTTTTAACCTGCATTTTGGGTAAAATTCACCGTTCTGCAGAAGGCCCATAAAAGGCCCGCGCACCACTTACGTCCCACCAAGGCACCATTTGCGTGGCGCACGTGGCGCTCCGGTGATGCATTGGCCCTGTGCCGGCCGCCCGCGGAAGGGGTTCAGCCGCCGCCGATGGATGATGCTCAACGTGGTGGGGAAAAATATTAGCAGAGTGGTTTTATTAACAACGGCGCTAATTCACCGCTTGTCTTTCTGTGCTTACTAAAGGGAATCGAGGGTGTTACGCGTGTGCCAGAGGAGCGGCTTGCGAAACTATCCGGGAAAGAAAACAAACAAACGAAGCCTCCTCCCAGCCGGGGAAGCACAAGAGTCCTGGCTGTGCTGGTTAATAAAAATAAACCCTGAGTAAGCTCAGGGATCCCAGGGGTCTCTCATGATATGCAAAATCTCAGAGGAGTATCTCGGAGTTTCGTAGGAATTGGCTTCGTGCTGGGAGAGGATGGGGCCAGCGCATGGAGGGCTCCCAGTGATGCTGCAGCCACCAAAGGGATTTCCTCACAGCCCTGGGAATCCTCTTAGCTCCTTCTGCACAATTTGCATCTTGCTGGATAAAACTGAGCAAAACACCACTGTGCCTTCCTTGCACCTTCTCCCTACCTGCAGAGTCAGTGCCAAATCATCAAGGGCTTAGACTGAGCTTCCCCAGCAGCCTCTTGCAGCCCCTCACTTTGGGTTGCATCCCCATGTTTTCCACCAAATATTTAGTGCCCGCACCATCCCTTTGGGCTGCAGTTTCTGCATAGATGCATGGAAAAAGATTATGTCAGGTTGATTTACTCCCCTTCCTCTGACAAATAAAGGTGTCTTCAGATAAAATATAACTTCCTGCCCGAGCCCATTGAGCCTCCCCGCTCCCTCCGTGCACGGAGAAGCAAACCCCGGGTCTGGAAGGGTTTTATGCCTCGTGGTACAGAAGCCTCCAGCAGGGCACTCAGAGGATGAGTTTCAGGTGTTTTGTTCAAGAGGGACATGAGCAGGAGACTTCCAAGAAACGCCGCCAGTGGATGCATGGGGCACCCACGGGCTGCAAGCTGGGGACACCTATTGATCTGCTTAGAGGGTGGGGCTGCAAGATGAAAATCTGAAGAATAAATGAATCTTGGCTGAACGTCTGCCAACTGTCCTTACTTTTTTATTTTTTTTTCCCCAACCAATTCACAGCGAACTTTGCAGCCATCTTCCACAAAAGGCAGCAGAGTTCCTCTGCTCACACACACCAGTTTGCCCAGTAGCACTCTGGTGCTTTGACTTATTCAATGATCTTTGCTCTGTCCTTGCTTGTGAAGCATCCAAATCTCTGAGCACTATTGGGCTCCGCTCTTCCTTCTGATGATTTTGGCTTTATTTTGTGAATCCCTGGAGGCTGTCTCCTGGGAACCTGAGCCTACATCCTGGTGGGGACACCTGAGCACTGCCACCTGCTTGTGCCAGGTCATGGGGATGTCCCTGTCTGAGACCATCTCCCAAGTTCTGGGTGCACAAGCCAGTGGGGTGCCCCCTGTGAGCTCAGCAGGGCCAGCACCACCGGGATCCCCTGTGGCGTTCAGCTCCCAGGGCATGGGAAGGCAGAGAGGAGGCAAAGAACCGATGGGACTAAGCACCCCAAGGAAAACGAGTGCTGGATTCATGATTTTACACATATACCACTGTTGGCTGACACTTAGATCCTGCCAGCACCTGCGAGGTGGGAGCAGGCAGAGGCTTGGTGTGAGAGCAGTGTTGTGGGAGGAGGGACACGGTGCCTGGCCCTGATGGGGGGCACATCCATACCCATCCATACCCACCTGTACACATCCACGCCCATCCATACTCACCGATACCCATCTGTACCCACCTATAACCACCTACACCCATCCATATCCACCTATACCCATCCATACCCACCCGTAACCATCCATACCCCAAAATACCCATCTGTACCCACCCACACCCATCCATACCCACCCATACCCATCCATTCCCACCCATACCCCCCTGTCCACTTGCCCACAAGCCCCACGCACCTCTCTCCGTGTCCATGCCCACCATCCAAACCCCATCCCAGAGGCTGGGTCTCCCCCTCCCTGGGGACAGGGCTGCCCGCACCCACCGAGTCCCGCAGCGCCCCGGCTGGGGGCAGCCCCGCACAGTCCCGCGGGGCTCCGGCCTCCCCCCCAGCTTGGGTTTCCCTGAAGGCGAACTGGGGCTAAATAATGAATCGATCTAAAATTAACCGGAGGAATGGAAATGCTCTAAAAATAAGCGAGCAGCTGCCGCGGCCGCAGCCCCCCAGTCCCGCGGGGCTGTGCGGGGCAGCTCCGCACCCGGGCACGGATGGGGCCCCCCCAAAACTTCGCCTCCTGCCTCGTCGCCGCCTGCTCCCAGCCCGGCTTTTGGTGATGTTGCTGTTTTCCTTTTTTATTTCTGTATTTATTATTTTTTTTTTGGCTTGGGTCGCCTCCCCGGGGGGAGCTGCGGGGGCTGCGGTGCGGGGCCGGGAGCAGGGGCGCGCTCCTGGGCGCAGCGCCGGGCTCCGAGCGGCCCCGCAGCGCACAGCCCCGCACCGCACCCGCACCCAGCCCCGCTCCCACCTCCTCCCCGCTCCCTCGCCGACCCCCGCAGCCCTCCGGCATCCTCCCTCCTCGTCCCTTTTTCTCCTTTTGTACTCAGGCGCCTTGCCCTGGCCGCCAGGGCGAGCGGGGGCTTTTGTAAAACGGGACGGATAAAAACGAGCGACATCATATTGTTTGACAGAGGGATCCGAAATGATAAAGTGCCTTCTCCGGAGGGGGGCGAAAATGGTGAATTCCTAAAAAACAAGCGAGCCGCTTCTCGCCTCTGCCTCCCTGCGCTGCTCGCCGTAGCCTAAAGGGATCCGCCGCCTGCACCAGCCCGCAGCACGTCCAGCCGCTCTTTTCAGGGGAAGTCCTCCTTTTAAAAGCCTCCATTTATTTATTTTTAAAGAAATGAAGAAGTGTCGGGAGGGGGGAGAGAGGGCGGCTTGGGCTCGGGACCCCCCGTTCTGCTGGCGGCGAATGCGAAGCACAATTTTCGAGAGAAAGGCTCGTTTTGATTAAATCTGACATGCCGCTGATAACTCCATGCTAATGTGAAATAATTAACATAATAGCCATAATTAAAAGCACGCTAACAATGCCATAAATTTATCACACAATTTTACTAGCTTTCTGCCCCTAACTGCTCTCTCATCGTTAATTAAACGTGTTGCCTTTCCCGGAATGGATGTTTGTACATTTCCAATCCAAATAAATCCGAAAGCGCTTTGGAAACGCGACCGATTTCGTTTTAACACCGAGCTCCGCCGCTTTTCCAGGCGATTTATTGCGATTAAAAAAAAAAAAAAGGAAAGCGAACACGTGCGGATAGAGGCCTTGAAGAAAAAAAAAAAAAAAAAAAAAGAAAAAAAAAAAAAGGAAAAAAAAGGAAAAAGGGGTTGGGGGGGACATGGAAAAGGGTCACCAAACGCGCATCTTCGGCGAGACCCCCGTGCCGGGGTGCGCTTGCCCCAGCCGGCGGGGCCGGTGTAAGCCGGGTCAGGTCAACGATTTATAGAAGTCCTTAGTGAAAGTAAGAGGCTTAAGGAGCTGAAAGGGGACACCTTTGGTTTCTCCTTCCTTTAAAACGATTACAGAAGCAGAAATTGCCCCGGCGCTGCCGTTCCCCCTCGATCCCCCCCAGCCTCCGGCTTTATTTTTAACTCGCCCCGCAGCCAGGCTCTCGCTTGGCCATATTAGAACCCAATTGAGCTGTAATTAATTTCTCCCTCTCTACCATAACTTATTCCATCCTCCCTCGCCCTGGCGCTTGCCGTGTCTCTATTTGACTCGCTATCGATCCGGACCATACAGTTTGTTTTTCTCCCGTCGCTAAATCTATCTGTCTATATGGGCGCCCACTTTCCAGCTCTGCCGTTGTCATTATCGGGGTCGCCACCTCCGCTCCCGCAGCCCGAATTGTTTCCTTGCTTCGCAGGGCACTGGCCCTGCTGGTGATAAGCTCCGAAATGTGCCTGCTGGGGGGCTCCGAGCCCCCTCCCCGGGTTTATGTGGGGGATTTGCTCCTGGATGATGCCCGGCGTGACAGCTTCGCCCCTGCTCTGGGTGCGGGTTTGGCTGGCTGGGCTCCCAAAAACTTTTCCCCAAAAACTTTTCCCCAAAACCTTTCCCAAAAACCTTTTCCCAAAACTTTTCCCCAAAACTTTTTTTTCCCAAACTTCTCGCCCAAACCCTGCAGGGCGCCGGGAGGGGGGGGGGGGGGGGGGAGCGCCCCGTCGGGCCGGACTTGGCACAACGCAGCCCTAAGGGAGGAGAAGAGTTTCTCTTCGCCGTAATTAACGGCACCGATTAATTACTGAGACTTTTCTCGTGCCGAGGAAATGCGCAACAAATGAAGAGGGGCCCAGGGGTGTGGGGGGGGGGGCGGCACTCCCCTGCCCCCGAAAGGCCCCGGGGGGCAACGGGGGCTGCGCCGCCAAACGCCTGAAAAGGGCACCGGGGAAGCCCCGAGGGGGTCTGGGGGGGTCCCAGCCCCGCTGCCCCCCCCCTCCCCCCCGCTGGGACCCCCCAACTCCTCCGGGCTATGCTGCCGGGGGGGCCGGGGCACGGCGGAGCCTTCCGTGCGCTTCCCTGGGGGGGGAGAGGGCTGCCTGGGGGGTGCCGGTGGTGCTTGGCTTGTCGGGGCTGTTATTTTTTATTTTTCCTTGAAAATAAATAAATAAAAAAGATCGGAAAACGGTCTGTCCTGACGCTATGCGCTCATTTCCTTGCATTTACCGGGATCCCCAAAGCCGTCCGGGAAGACAAGGGGGGAAAGGCCGGGCCGGGGGGGGGCTGGGGGGGCTGTGCCGGGCGCCGCTCCCCGGGCCGGGGCTTACCTGGGGCCGCGGCACCGCGCTCCTCGCATTCACCCGCACCGCCTCATTTCCTACGTGTTCTTATGCTAACGCCCGCAACCGTTAAGTCGTTAACACCTCGGGAAAAGAGGGAAAAAAAAAAGAAAGAGAAAAAAAAAGAAAAAGAAAAAAAAGAAAAAGAAAAAAAAAAAGAAAAAAAAAAAAAGAAAGAAAAAAAAGAAAAAAAAAAAAAGGAAAAAAAAAGAAAAAGAAAAGGGAAAACAAAAAAAAAGAAAAAGAAAGAAAAAAAAGAAAAAGAAAGAAAAAAGAAAGAAAAAAAGAAAAAAAAAAAAAAAAAAAAAAAAAAAAAAGGAAAGGGAAAAAAAAGAAAGAAAAGACGGAAAAAAAGGGGAAAAAAAGGAAAAAAAAGGTGGGGGAAAAAAAGAAGAAGAAAAAGGAGCCGGCTAAAAGCCTCTTTATTTATAGTTTCCCTTTGTTATTTTACGTCTTTTTTATTTCTCCCAGCACCTAATGGGATGGATCAATCAATAGCCGCGCTCTGATCTTCCGCTCCCAGCTGGTGGGAAAAAAAAATGGGAAAAAAAAAAAAAAAAAATAAAAGGAAGGAAAAAGGGAAAAGAAAGCGCCCGGGGGGCTCCCGGAGCTTGGGCTCGCCGGGTCCCCGCGCTCCGGGCCGGGCTCGGGGCCGGGGCCGGCGGCCGCGGAGGGCGAGGAGGAGCCGGGGGCGGCCGGGGGCTGGCGGGGCCCGACGGGGCGGGCGGCGGCGGTGTGAGCTCAGCGGGCAGCGGCGTGACGTCACGGCGGGGGAGCGTGACGTCACGCGGTCACGTGGCGCCGCCTCCGAGTATATCTTTAACGGGAAAGTAATCGATCAGGCAGTCCGGCCCGCCGCGCCGCCACGCTGCCCGGCGAGGGCCCCGCGACGCCCTCCTCGGCCTCCCTCCGGCCTCCCCGAGCTGCCTCCCGCCCCCCCACCCCGTCCCCTCCCTCCTCCCTCCCTCCGCCCTCCGAAAAAAAAAAAAAAAAAAAAAAAAGGAGAAAAAAAAAAAAAAAAACAAGAAGAAGAGAGAAAGGGGGGAGAGGAAGGGCAAAAGCAGCCCCGAGGACGAGCGGTGCGGAGCGGGGAGCGGAGCGGTGGAGCGGAGGGCGCCCGGTGAGCCCCGGCGGCCCCCATGCCCGGCGGGCACCCGGCGCGGAGGGCGGCTGGGAGCAGCGGAGCCGCCTGAGCCCCGATGCCCGGCGGCGGGAGCAGCCGGAGGTGACCGGGCCGCAGCCGCCGGAGCCCCGAGGGCGGCCCCGAGCCGCCGCCGCCGCCGCCGCCGCGAGAGGAGGAGCGGGCGCGGCCCCCCCATGCCCCGCGGGGGCGGCGCGGCGGGCGGCAGCCGGGCCGCTCGGGTGTAGCGGCGGGCGGCGGCGCTCGGAGGAGCCGCGGCGGGGAGGCGAGGGGGAGGCCCGCCGCCGGGGCCGCCCCGGGGCCGCCGCCGCCGCCGGGAGCGGGCGGGGGCCCCGTCGGAGGCGCGGGGATGACCCTGTCGGGAGGCGGCAGCGCCATGGCCGGGCAGAGCGCGCTGGCGGCGGAGGACGTGGACATCGACGTGGTGGGCGAGGGAGACGACGGGCTGGGCAAGGAGAGCGACGGCGAGGCCCGCAGCCCCGGGGCGCCGCCGCTGGACGGGGCGGCGGAGCCGGCGCTGCCCGCCGAGGTGGGAGCCGAGAGCGGCAGCAGCGGCAGCGGCAGCCCGGCCCCGGCGGGCCCCGGCGGAGCGGCCGAGGGCGGCAAGGGGGGCGGCGGAGGCGGCGGCGGCGGCGAGGACGGGGCGAGCGGAGCGGCGGCGGCGGCGGCGGGGCAGAGCAAGCCCAAGAGCAGCCTGGTGAAGCCGCCCTACTCGTACATCGCGCTGATCACCATGGCCATCCTGCAGAGCCCGCAGAAGAAGCTGACGCTGAGCGGCATCTGCGAGTTCATCAGCAACCGCTTCCCCTACTACCGGGAGAAGTTCCCCGCCTGGCAGAACAGCATCCGCCACAACCTCTCGCTCAACGACTGCTTCGTCAAAATCCCCCGGGAGCCCGGCAACCCGGGCAAGGGCAACTACTGGACGCTGGACCCGCAGTCCGAGGACATGTTCGACAACGGCAGCTTCCTCCGGCGGAGGAAGCGCTTCAAGCGGCACCAGCAGGAGCACCTGCGGGACCAGACGGCGCTCATGATGCAGGGTTTCGGCGCCTACGGCCTGGCCGGGCCCTACGGCCGCCCCTACGGGCTGCACCCCGGCGCCTACCCGCACCCCGCGGCCGCCGCCGCCGCGCTGCAGTACCCCTACATCCCCCCCGTCGGGCCCATGCTGCCGCCCGCCGTGCCGCTGCTGCCGTCCAGCGAGCTGAGCCGCAAAGCCTTCAACTCGCAGCTCGGCCCCAGCCTGCAGCTGCAGCTCGGCAGCCTGGGAGCCGCCGGCTCCATCGTCAAGTCGGAGCCCAGCAGCCGCCCGTCGTTCAGCATCGAGAACATCATCGGCGGCCCCGCCGCCAGCTCGGCGGCAGGAGCCCAGACTTTCCTGCGGCCGCCCGTCACCGTGCAGTCGGCCCTCGTGGCCCACCAGCCGCTGGCACTCGCCCGGACCACCGCGGCCATCGCCCCCATCCTCAGCGTGCCTACCAACATCATCGCCGGCCAGTTCCTGCAGCCCGCCGCCCCGGCCGCCGCCGTGCAGGCCAAGTGGCCGGCTCAGTAGCCCAAGTGGCCGGCCCGGTAGCCAGGGTGGCCGGCCAGGTAGCCCAAGTGGCCGGCCCGGTAGCCCCCGGGTGGCCGGCTCGGTAGCCAGGGTGGCCGGTCCGGTAGCCCCAAGGTGGCCGGCCCAGTAGCCTAAGCGGCCGGCCCGGTAGCCCCGCCGTGCCCCTCGGATGGATGGATGGATGGACGGACGGACAGACGGCCGGCCGGCCGGACAGACAGACAGACCGCTGCCGGCAGCGCCTGCCGCTGCTTTTCGGGCTTTTTATTTTTCTAAAGAGGCGAAAGGACGGTCGCGACCAGCAGCCGCGGGCTTTCACTTTTTTTGAAGGTTCCGGCGCTCCGAGCGGTTTTATCCGAAATAAGCGAGAGAACGAAAAAAAAAAAAAAAAAGAACGGGAAAAAAAAAATGTATAAAGAAATAAGCGGGGAAATTTTAAATAGTTAAACGAACGAACAGCAGGCAACAGCGAGAAAAAAAAATTGGAGACGAAAGAAAAAAAAAAAAAGGAGGAAAACGCTGTCATTCTATTAGAGAAGTCTGTTTATATATGAATGAATATATGTATTCTAAATGTTATCCCTTCGTGTTGTACACAACTTTGTAAATAAATTTTTAAAACGCTCTGCCCGGCTTTGTCTGACAGGCGCGGCGACGGCGGCTGCGGGGCCGAGCGGAACCGAGCCGGGCTGAGCCGTGCCGGGCTGGGCTGAACCGAGCTTTGCTGGTACCGAGCCTTATTGAGCCGGGCTGAGCCGTTCCGAGCCGGTTGAGCCGAGCCGTGCCGTGCTAAGCCGGGCTGAGCTGTTTCCGAGCCGTGCCGAGCCGAGCCAGGTCCGGTCCCACTGCTCGCTGCGGGGCCGGCATCGCCGCGGCTCCCCCGTGCTTTGACTCCCGGCCTCGCCGTGTTTTCCCCCAAAATTTCTTTAATTTTTTCGTGCCCGACCCGGCTCTGCGCGGCGGTGCGGCGGGATGCTGGCCGTTCCCTGCTGGCACAGGCACGCATCGGGGAGGCTTTCGCGGCTGTTTTGGGGGGGAATTGGTTTTAAATAAAACGCCGGGGCCATCCAAGAGCCAAATAAATCTAGGATTTATTTGGGGGAGAATAAAAAACGAAAAGCCGTGCCCGTGCGGGGTCCGAGCGCGGCTCTTTCGTTGGAGGGAGAAGTGCTGGGGAAGCGGCTCGGCGTGGTGACGGCAGGGAACGGCCTTTCTCACCTAATTCCCGCAACTAAGTTTGGAGGGCGGCTGCGAAAAATGTACATTTCTGGGCGTTTTCGTGGCTAAAATACAGAGACCGCCGAGAGGAGAAAATAACCGCAGCGTTGCAGGATTTAAAGCCCGGCTGCGGAGGGGCTCGGGCTGGCGAAGGGAAGGCGAGACCCTCGGCGCTCGGCACTGCCCGGGCTCGCTGCTTTATTCTCTCCCTGGCGAAACGTTTGGGTTTCGTCGGTGCTGGAAGCCTCGGTGGATTTTGTTCGGGCCCTAAAAAGCTGCTGCGGTTGCGGGGGGAACGGGCGGCGGGCGCTGCGAGAGGAACCGAGAGCGCAGCTTGGGGAAAAACGGGGGAAAAAAAAGCAAAACATGAAAAAAAAAAAAAAAAGAAAAAGAAAAAAAAGTCCTTGATTTCCTGTGAGGAGTAAATATTATTTTTTTCCTAAGTCAATATTTACACCTCCGTATATATGCTCCCAGATAAAGGAGGTGCTGGAAGTTTGCAGGCAGGGAGCCGCCGGACCGGGCACCGAGCGGGCACCGGGGGGGGCCCCCTGGTCCGGGAGAGCCCCGCGGGCCGTCGGCGTGCTGCGGCCATAAAAGTCGCGGGGAGTTTCACAGTTGTGTCTGGCTAATCGGTTTTACACAAACAGCAAATGGTACGTGATGTGGGCAACACGCGCGGGGGTTATTGCTATATTTAGCGGATCCCCCTGGGAAAAGAGGAAGGAGCCTCTGCTTGAATTCGCTTCTCGGCTCAAGAAGCTGCTGATCCAGGGCTTCCAAGTGACACTGGATAACAGGGGCTCATTCCATTCCCGAGCCTTTGTTGCTCAGAAAATCGCTCGCTCATATTTCCGCGCATAGCAGCAATACCTCGGGCTCGGCATCTGCGCTCCGGGCCCGGCGGCGGGAGCTGCTCGGCGGCAGAACCGGCACCTTGTGTGTCCCCCCCCCCCTTCCCCTGCTGCCCTTCGTCCCCCGGCACCTCCGTCCCCTCTTCCTCGCCTTCCCGACAGCGGTCGGCAGCACCCCCGGTGCCGCAGCATCGCGGGCAGAGGGGCGGCGGCGGCTGCCGGGGCCGGGGCCCCGCGGGCAGGTGAGGGCTCCCGGGGGGGGGGGTGCAGTGCCGGCACGGGGCCTGCAGGGGGCGCGGGGACCGGGAGCCCCCCCCGTAACCTCCCCCGGGGGTCGGGACCCCCCCTCCGGGGGGCTGGGAGCATCCCCGCGGTGCGGGGCCGGGCTGGGCATCCCCCGGGCACAGAGCGGGCGGCGGGGCGCGGGGGGCAGCAGAAAGCCTTTTTCTTTCTTTTTTTTTAATTTATTTTTTTATTTTATTTCTTTCTCTTCCTTTTCCTTCCCCAGCCCCGTGTGGCAAAACTGGACGCGGCCGCTGACCGCTGACGGATGCCCCGAGCGCCGGTGCGCTCTGGGGCGCACGGGGGGGAAGGGAGGGGGTCGCCCTCCGCACAGCTCAGCCCCGGCCCCGACCCCCGTGGCTTTTTGCTGGGGTGGCCGAGACTCCGCTCACGCCTCCCGTGGGAGCTCGTGGGCCGGAGGGACCCGGTGCGACCCCCCCGAGCCGCCCCAGGAGGGCGCGGAAGATGCGCGGAAGATGCGCGCCCGCGGCTCGGAGCCGGGAGGGAGCAGGGCGGCTTTCCGGGGGGACTCGCGGTGAATTTACGTTGTGGCAGTCCTAAAACATAAAGCGTTATGTACTTAAAAGACACAGAGCATAGGTATTACACCCACCGAAAGTATTTTAAGTCAGTGAATGTTCAATGTAGCAGGTAGAGATGAACTTAGCACGTCTCCCCGACTGAGCTGGGAACAGACTCCTCAGCCATAAAATGCACTTAACAGTCTATTTAATAGTGGCGAGGTCCTTGAAAATGCAATATCCATGCTAATCTCGCCTTTTTTTTTTTCCTAAATCAGAAATGAAAAATAGGTCAGCAAGGCAGAACCTTCCCCTCCCGTTTAAAACGTGACATTTCGTCTGTCGGAAGAGCTGAGCAAACTTCAGGAATTCGGGCTCGGGGAACTCGATTCGGATCGGGGAACGGGAGCTCTGCTCCGGCCGCAGATCCGGAGTGCCGGGGGGGGGCTTTGCCTCGCCTCTACTCGGCTTTCCATCACCCCAGGAGCCGGGGGAAGGCAAAGAGGCGGCTGAGCTGCTTGCAAAGGGTTAAAGAAAGGCGTTTGTCCGCTCCTTATCGGCTTCTCCCTGCTGCCGGGAGCCGAGCGGCAGCCGCTTGCCGGCTCTGCCCCGCTGCTCGATGCGCCCGCGCTGCCTTTCCCAGCCATTGATCCGCTCAAAGTCACGGCAGAAATGCTGGTGACAGGGACTCGATTCCAGGCGACGCGACCCGGTGCAAGTATTTCGGGGGCGTTCGATAAAAAAGCTTTTTTTTTTTTTTTTTTTTTTTTTTTTTTCCCGGGAAGGGAACGATCGCACCTCGAGACCAGGCGGGCTGCGATAACTGGGAGGATGGGGTGCGGGACGGGGACGGGACGGGGACAGGGATGGGGACAGGATGGGGACAGCTGAGGACAGTAACGGGGCATTTCCAACAGGTTTGGGGCTCCCAGCATCTGGAGAGGGCGGTCAGCTCAGGGGGATTTGGGTTTGCTGCCCACACAACCCCCTGAACTCCCCGTCTCTCCATCCCTCCCTGCTGAGGTGACGCTGGAAGGAAATTTCCCCAAATGCTGAGGTGACTGCAGGTGGAGAGACACCGACATCTCTAAAAATTTGCTCTCAGTTGGCAGACAGCTGGGGTTATGGAAATCTGCGACCTCGTTGCGTTGGAAAAACCTGAAGGGAAAAAAGCGATCTCTGGTGGCACGCAGTACTCAGCCCGATTTAATAATAATCATATTGCCCGATATCCGTATACTTTGAAAATAACCCGTAAATGTCAAAAAAATCTACGGAGAATTTTGTTTTCCTACAATCTCTTAATTTTAAACCCTAATATTTGAAGTGATCAGGTGCTTCTTGAGCACACTTCCATTCTGCAGCGCTTGGTTTTAAACAGGTTGGGTTTATGCTTTAATTTTTGGTTAGCCCTGAACTGGTCGGGCAGTCGGACTCTCCATGGGTCCCCTCCAACTGAACTAATAGTATTTATTTATCTATTTATTTATTTATTTACTCTAAATCCCTTAAAAGTTTCCGTCCTGGGATTCCAGCCCAAGGAGAGCACGGGCACCAGTTGTTGTGGAAAGTCATGAAAGTCTGAGTATGTGGTGTTGGTTTAAATATGTATATATATATGTGTATATATATATATTTATATATATGTTTTCTACTAAATTGGATGTCCTGATCTCAGTTAGACGTGGAAACTGAGGAAAAACATCAATCTAAAGAACAGAGACCGCACTTTTTGGTGTTGGTACGGGCTGTGTGAGGCCGATGTGGGCTCCTTCACCTTATTTTACGCACTTTGTCAGGACCTGAAGGGGCACCACAGAAATACAGCCGATAAAGGCCGTCAGGCAGCAGCCCCCGGTGCCTCAAGTCCGGCTCCTGGACGTTGCCACCCACACTCAACGCCTGAGGAGCACCTCCCCAAGTCGCATGCTGAAGCACGGATCCTGCAGCAGCCGCTTCCCTCTTGTTAAAACAAACAAATAAAGCAGCGAGCCGGGCTCTCTCCTGAGGCGAGCACCGGCCCCCGCGCAGCGCTCCCCGCTCACGCCCTCCCCGCGCCCCGCCGCTGACAGGACCCGAGCCCCGCCCCCCTGCCCGGCTCCGAGCCCAGCTGCGCACGCGCGGGCCTGGGCGCATGCGCGCTGCGGCGCCCCTCGCCTTTTCCCCGCCCCGCGCGCCCGGCGGCCTCGTCGAACGCGGAAGCGCGCGCGCGCGCGGCCGTTGGGTCCTGTGAGGGGGCGCGCGCCGGGGAGGGGCGGGGCACGGTGTGTGTGGGGGGTAGAGGGGCGCGGGCGCTGCCCGCTGCCTCAGGGCGGGCGGGGGGCGCTGAGGGGAGGGCGTCGCTGTGGTGTGCTCCGTGTGGGGCGTCCCTCGTGTGCCCGGTGTGCCCCTCGTGTGCACCGTGGGGTGTTCCATGGTGTGCCCCATGTGCCCCCTGGGTCCTGCCAGCGGCTACCTGAGGGAAATAAGCTCCCCCCCCCCCCCCCGGTCCCCTCAGGCACAGGTGTAGCGCAGGGCGGTGCGCTCCTGGGCTCTGCTGCCGAGCCTGGAGCAGTTTCTTCGTCTTTTTCTTCTTTTCTAACCCAGACCGGAATAGTTTTGGTGTTCTGGGTCGAGTTTTTGTGTTTTCTGTTCTTAGTGGCTTTGGCATGGGGTAACATCGGCGTTTTCCTGTTACTTTGTCCCAAGGTTGCATGTGGCGGATGTAGCAACCTTTTGTGTTTTTACATGTAGCTAACATTTATATAACTT